CCCCAGAAACCCACCTCAGACCTGTGAGCGCGGCCGGGGAAAGGCGGCGAGAGGGATGGTTGCTCCTGGGCAGGAGCGCGGTGGGAAGGATGGAGAGAGCGAGCAGCAGTCCCGTCGTGCTGTCCCCACGGACGCCCCGCCCGGCGCGGGGGCGACCTGCGAGTCTCGTATCCAGAGCCCAGGATCGTAGGAAAGCGGTGACACATCCTGGTAATGGGTTATTAATACCGAGTAATACATTTACCGTGAAAAAGCAAATTAAGAAATGAGCACAGCTTGCTTAAAGCTTAAAGCAGGAACGTGGTGAACTCCGTTGAGGTTTCAGTAACACACAGCCATCAGCACAGTTAGTTCAAACAGCTCTTCAGAGAGTCACACTGCTGTGGAAAAGTAGTAGCATAAACACAAACTCCCTTCTAGGAAATTTTGGGTTGCACTCCGGTGTGCAACAGAGCAAATTGCTTTTGTGTTCTAAGCTTGTCTTTCGCTGATTTCAGTTTAAGGGTAATGTTACAACAACAATGGATTTTTATTAAAGACATCTCTGCTGTCATAAATCACTCAAACTAGAATCCAGTGGCAGGACCATAATGTAGAAATAATAACAATAACAACAACAACAGCAGCAACAACAACAACAGCAACAACAATAATTATTTATAGCATTGGCCAACAGCTGTGACATTCACTGCCCATACATGGGACTGTGAATACTTAGTGTTCCAAAAAGTATTTGGATATTTTTTCAGACTAGATAAATTTCTTCAACTTATTTATTGTAAGGCTTCACTGGAAGTTGCACAAGAACATTCCAAGGTTTTGCCAAACCTGGTAATTGTTGAGGTTTTTTCCTTAATTGCTACAATAAAAACTCCAGGTTACTAACCTGGAAACAGTCAATAAAATATTGAGTACTACACAAAGAATCTGAATGTTTTCTGGATCCTCAGCCCAGATAAACAAAAAACACCTTTTTTTCTTTTTTTTTTCCTGATGTTAGGCTGTAGGAAATTAGCATAAAAAGAAAATCCAGTAAAAGAACTTACTGAAAAAGAAGGTCATTTTATTATACAAACTCTCTAGGCATATTGATTTCATGCCCAGTTTCATACTCACAAGCTGTAGGCACTTGAGCAGTCTGGCCAGGATCTTTCAAGCTCCTCTTCATCAGTGATTAAAAATACTATTATGGACCGTATCTCTTATATTATTGGGAGTGGTCTTTTGGTTTTGCTGCTACCTTCCTGTTGGGTGGAGAGGAAAAGGGGCAGCACAACTGATAGAGGGCAATCTCACTGCCATCTTTCTGTTGTTAGATTGCAGGATCTTCCACTGACAAATTGTCCCTGTTGCAGCTTTATCAGGCTTGTCCCAGGCTTGACAGAAACAACCCATTTCTTTATGTGTTTATTAGAAACACCATCCTTACCTAACAATACAGGACATTCAGCGTCTGCTGTTTCTGCAGCTGCTTTCATACACACACATAGGCTCATATGGCATTACTGCCAGTTCTAATATTCATCTTGCAAGGCCTTAGAAGGTCTCTTGTGTAAAACCATCATTGCTCGTGGGAAAAATATCAAACTTGGCACAATTTCAAGCCCCTGCTAAAATTAATTGTCAAAGATGCCCAGCTGGTGGCTAAGAGCTCACATAAACCCACAAACCCTTTCTTACTTAAGACACATAAGTGTGGGAACATTTGGAGCACTGCTACTAAACTATCTTAAGGAACAGGGTGGTGTTTGCAACTTTCCTGATTCATCCCAGTCTCACTGTGTGTTAACATTGCCTGTTCTGCTGCTCTCAGTACCTCAGTGCACAAAGCAGTGCCTTCTGCCCTGTGAAAACAGAAAGCTCCTGCTGCCCCCAACAGATCAGGTCTGACTTACTGCTGGAGCCCGTGGGTTGAGGAAATGTCTCTTCCAGGGGTTACAGCTGTCCTTGAAGATACTTCCTCCACCACTGTGCTGATTTAACATAGCCAGCCCTTGCCCTGCCAACTAACAAACCAAAGCTAGAGCTCTGCCACTACCTTTATTTCAACATTTCCTGCTGTCTCCTAGGATTGGTGAGTAGGTCTTGAATCACTTAAATTTCCCTCTACCAGCCTTCCCCTTTTTGTTCCTTCTAAAGCAGGTCAGGTCTCCTGCAACTTACCTACTAGTTGTTTGAAACTAACATATCTACACCATTCATGTACTTTTTTATTTTATGAGAAAAAATGTGTTAGCAAGTTTCCTGTGCTCACCTGCCTTCACTATAGTGGGGGGGATTTCAGAGGGAACTCCAGAGAACTGCTAACTGCACAGCTTAAACTAAATTTATCCAGAAGTGCCCTGTGCCATCAAAGCAACAAAAGAGGGGAAGCCCCTGCTCTTATTTCATGAAAATATAGGGGACATTAGGGGGATTTGAGCAATATTTTATAGTAACTCACATCTACCGAGGTGTAAAAGTTCTATATTTATGCAAATGGTACTACTTCTTGAATAGGCTGGAGAAACCTAGAGAAGAAAGAAAATGGTTAAAGGGTCTGGAAAGTCAGAGGACTGCTTATTTGGAAGAGAGAGAATAAACTAGAGCTAAGAAAGGAAATAACAGGACTGAAGCAGTAGGTAAAGACCAGAGGTAACATCAGGGCAGACAGAGGCAAATGGAAAGCACTCCAGGCAGGCCAGTAATGGCAGAATATTCAAAATCTTTTTATGTTCCTAGGCAACAAGACACAAAAATCCCCTTCTGCCCTATTCTGCATTTTCATGTTGACTGTTTCTTTTTACAAGGACCTGGCTCAGCTCAGCAATCTTTCCAAGCTTTGAAAAGTTCTTTGTGCATTAACTTCTCTGGAGGTGATGATGACAAAAGTGAGACAGACTATGATGTGACAAAGCCTTTGAAGCTAGTGAGAAAGAGAGTAAGTAGAGACCACTTGTCCTAAAATCCAGAGAGTTCTTAATTCCTCTCATTTCATTTATTCACCCTGCATGCTTGTGGAAGAGGCAGTCTGAAATTCCTTCTATCATTAATCAGGTCTATTCTTTTTTCTTTCCTCTGTCTTCTGGGTGGACACATTCTGCTGTCAATATATTTCTTTGTTCTTCCCTTAATTTCTGGACTAATGACCTCTTATATGGAGAGCCATTTAAGACACTAACCAGTGAAACCTGCACAGTTTTAAGGAAAAGAATATGATACAGCTGATCCAACTTGCCATTATTCAACAGGGGACAGGGAAAAAAGGATGACAAGTCAGTAACACAGATTCCAGTAAAAACAAACCCTCTAAGTTTTACCAGGTATGCTGCCTGCTTGAAGCTTTTTTCAAGCCATCAGCCCTTCGGACTCTGCTCAATCAATATTCTCCTTCATCATCATACTCAAGCAGTGCTTCCTCAAGTCATGAATGCTCAAATGGGTCTACTAGGATGTCCAGCCTGGTCCAGAGGGTCTGTCACCAGCTGTCGCTTTGCCAGTGATTTAACCACATGGCCATGAGCAAACCACAACTTTCTCTCAAGTTCTGGGGTCCCTCTGAGTGTCAGGAAAGGCCCAGATACACTCTATATTTGGTTTGGCTTTCTACCACTAGAATAGTTGTGTAAAATGGGAGACACCTGAATTTAGACTTTGCTGTAAAAGGAGGTTTGGTATTAGATGGACTTAATGGGAGTGAGGGTTGTTGGGCATCATGCAGCCAAGCATTTTTGGTACACCTAAGATATCCATGCCTAAGCTCACATTTTCTTCCCTTTTCTCATATTCCAATAAAACTTGTTGGTCATTTTGTGCTGATGACTAGTCATGCCTCTCTCACTGATCATCATTTATGTGCCATTTCTCTGCATAAGAAATCAGGTTGATAGTCAGAAAAGAAGGATATTTCACAAAAGAAAGGTAAGGCAGTCCTTACAGTTTTGTATAATATTTTCTGTTGTCCTAGAGAGCTTCCTTCAGCTCTTGGGACAGGCACATAGAAAAGAAAGCAAGTTTGGTCATGTTATCTAGGGTCTTGTTAAAGAGGCTGCCTTTGGGACAGCTGTGTCTTAGCTTTCTAGTTTGCTTTACTTCTAAAACTGGTGCTGTTTTTCCTTATGAAACAACAAAAGTACTAGGACTGAATGAAACAGCTATTACCATTTCATCAGGAAGAATCAAAGAGCACTTTGAAACTTCTACCTGAGGAGTAATGAAAAACAGGCCATCTGCCTGGTAGAAATCCAGTACCAGACTGCTTTTAAAAAAGGCCTCAAGTGAGATGCTCTGGAAAAATCAAGACTTTTTCTGCCCATTTGTTTTCCTAGTCCTTGGTGCCCATATCATCATATATTAATTTTTCCCTCTCAGTCATCAAAACTAAATTTTTACTTTTAAAAACTACACCTTTGCACTGAGGA